GAGGGATTTTAGTGGTGAGGATGGTGGTTTAGGGTCCTTAGAAGGGGAGGGTCACCCCCTCTCCTTGTTGTCCCTAAAAAGGGCCATTTTTGCCTCATGTGTGAGCACCTAGTTTAGGTCCATGTTGGCCATGCCTTAACTGTTATTTGGTAATATTTTTCCATATATTACCTCTATTTCATGTTGGTTTAAACACACCTTGCATGCCTTACATACATGTCTTGTAATGCCATCATTTTGCCTTAACATGTACATAGCATGTAGATCACCATGCCCGCTTGTTTTGGCCAAGCTTTGTGAAGCTTTTAGGCTTGTTTTTCCATGCTTAAGGTCTGATGTAGGTTGTCTTAGCCATGTTTTTCATGCTTCGTATAGCCCCTTTGCATTTTAGCTTGTTGGCTTTAAGTGTGTGAACCATGAGCATGCATTACTTGCATCATTTTTAGTGGTTTAGCACCATTTATCATGTCATTTCAGACCACTTAACATGCTCGCATGCTTGCATTTAATGCTCCTTTGATGCTTTAAGAGGTTGTGTTGTACACTCCATGTTTAAGCACTTGTGCATGCCTCCATGTGTAAATCATTTAGATGCCATCTAAGTGGTTTTTGGGGCTCGCCTTAGCAGGATTTGGGACTGATTTGATTCATTTTGATCATTTCCTTCATATGTCACATGATCATGATTTAAGCCCTTTGGCTTGTCTCGGATTTTGGGTTTTATTTGCATGCCATGTCTATCTTGTTTACTTGGTTTGGCACCATTCTTAACATGATTTTCAAGGCTCAGTGTGCATGCTATATGTCCATGTCTGCATCCTCCTAAGTGTGATTGAGAGTTGCTCTTCAATGCCTAAGTGTCGATCCTTGTGTGCATGCATGCTTGCATGATTATTTGGTCATCATTCTCTTAGCATTTGGCGACTGTTTTGGGCTTAGTATAGAGCTGCCCGAATCAGTATAAGTCCATTGTTCGCATGTTGTTGCATGCTCACCTTGTGTGTTGTCGCATACTTGTGTGTTGTTGCATGATTGAGTGAAGTCACATGCTTGCTTGCATGTTTGAACACCCACATTGTGTCTTACATACTTGTTGGTTGCATTGCTTCATGCCTTGCATGCTTGTTTGCCTAGGTTGTGTGTCTAACATACATTACTTGCTTGCATGCCCATATTGCATACTTAGCCTCCATGCCTAGGTTGCATTGCATAGAGCATGCATGCTTTGCCTCTTGAATTGAGTATGATAGAGGTTAGGCTTTATGTGTTTATTTGGTTTGCATGTCACTTGAAATCAAAATGCACAACTTGGTTTCTTGGGCCATCACGCATTGAAATGCGCGATTGGTGGTCCGAGAATCGAGTACCATCCCCCTTTGAGTCATAAACATGATAAGGGGTGTGTTGGTGCACACATTTGCTTGAAATGCATTGCCATGCCTTGTTTTTCCCTCTGCTACTGTCAAAACAGGTTTCTGCAGGAAGATATGGCCGGTCGGCCATCTATAGTGTCGATCGACCAAACATATTTGGCCGAGAGTTTCATTTGTGGTTGATAACCACTTGCCCATGGCCGGTGATCATTTCTCTTGGCTGGTGGCATCCCACAATGTTCAGAGAGTGTACCTTGGGATTTGTGCACTGTTCAGAGGTGCAGAGCAGTGTAAACAAAGGCAACAATGGCATGGCATTAGATTTCCGGGCGAAGTCAATCTGAGCATACGTGCATCCCTCTTCCCGAGGCCTTTTACCGCTTTCCTTAGCTTAATTGATTTGTTAATTAATTAGGTGGTCTGTAAATTATTTAATTAGCTTGTAGGTTAATTAAATTGTATTATTCTTTTGGTCCCTCCGAGCGAGGGCGAATTTGTAATAAGCGTGCATGTGCGTGATCCATGTCTTCCAATCCCCACTTCTTTCTCCCTTTTACTTACCTGCTTTTGATGGTTAGTATTAGGACATATTTCAATTAACATCCTTATGCTATGCATGCGTGCATCCATTCATTTGTATTGCATGCACCGGGCTCGGCTCATCATACTAATTGCATAGTATCTCAAATCTAACTTGAATACATGTTATCTGTGCATTTCACATGCCATCCATAGATTAGCCGAGCCTATTCTAGTGACATTCTGTATGTGATGCATTAGCCATTTTAACATGAACTAGGATCATGCATGATTACTAACTAGTTTCTTGTTTTGGCTCGGAGTACATTGTGAGTGTTTATGCTTTAGCATCTTGCATGTATGTGAATATTAACATGACAGCATGCTTGCCATGTGGCTATGTGCTTATGTGATATAACTGCCTGAATGCCTGTGGGTGAAGGTTGAGTTACTTAAATTGGAACAGCGCATTGAATATGAGTTTTAAGCCCACTTGAGAGTGGCAAAATTATATTTTGTAAGCCCACTTGAGGGTGGCAAAATTCATGTCTTAGCCTACTTGCGGGTAGCACCATCAAACCATTTTCAAATAAACAAACATGACATGTTTCGTTCCAATTTTGGCGACTTAGTCTATACTTGTTTGATGTGCGCATCACATAGTAAATCTAGGCTAATAACTGGAATAAGAACGCATAATGTTTTCAAAACTAGATATCATGGTTAGTAGAGGCCGATCTTTGATCGGGCGAGCAAGGGTGCTCATAGCTGACCTTTCCTAATCGTACCCAAGTTCCCGAGCCGAGGCAACTTTGGTGATGACGGACACGTGGCCTTAAGAAAACGAGTCAGGGTTCCCTAAATTCCCCCATAAAAATATTTAGGTGGCGACTCTGTATCTGGAAAAGCAGTCCATGTTTAGCACTTCTTTTCTAAAAATCTGTTTTTCTCAAAACGATTTGTCGGATTTGGACTCTTTGGTTCAAATTAAGAACCGTGACAATTTGAGAGTCCGAACTATAGTGGGCCCAATTGAACAGAACGAGGGTTCTCCCTCCCAGGACGTTCGGGGACGTCTACACATATATAAGTTTTTGAAAATTTTGTCCCATGTACGTCTACACAGCTCAATGGACTATGTATGTCTATATATTTGCTTCTGCAGCCCCTTAATATGTGATAAACTATTCAGAGGCCTTTGGTAATCCAAGGATTACTTGCCGGTTGTGATGTTAAACCTATAGGGGTGGGTTTGGGTCGTGACACAGGAAGTGAGAGAAAGCACTGAAGAGGAAAGGAAAACAAAAAATGAGGAGATCAAACTAGGAAAAGTAGTAGCAGGTGACATGAAAATGTGAGATCCAAAGGCTGACTTGGAAACAAGTGAGTTTACTCCTTTCCATACCACCCCCATAATCACACCACCCACCCAATCAATTACCATCATTGCCTAACCTCTAACATCAAAAACCCACCTACTCGTCACCATCAACAATTCCGAACCCAACCAAAAGAAACCCGACACTAACACACCCCAACCCAAAGAACCGCCAGACAAAAATAGAGAAGGAATGGGAGAACTTACCAACACTAAAACATACACTGACTCAAGACAGAGTGATGGTGGCTTTTATGCTAGAGAAAGAAGTGTTTCACCTCATCACCCCTGAAGGATGGAATGTGGAAATAAAAGTGAGAATCCAGCCATGGAGGCAAGCCAGAATCTGCACTATGTTGTGATATCTCCCACAAAATCGATGGAAGACAACCACAAAGCTGTGAGGGGTCATCTGGCTCTTGAGGACCAGAACCTAAGGGGTGAGCAACGGATATATCGATCCGCCTAAACCGACCAAACCGAACCAATCCGCTGCATTTTGGACAGATGCGTGATGACGAGCGGATGGTTGCGGATTAATTTTTTCCAATCCGACCAGTTTTGGACAGATGACATATTTGAGGGTCTTTTGGCCGCAACCAAACCACTAAACCGTGAGCACCCCTATTATTTTGTAAGACTTTATATTTTTAATTTGTTTAGATATTTTGTTTCTATTTTCAATTGAAAAAAGAGTTTAAATATTCTGTTGAAAAACAGTTTTCAACTTGAATATATTTTTTGAATTGAAAAAAATAAATGTATTATTTATCTATATTTTTTGGTTTTTAAATCTAATTCAAAAAATAATAAATAAAACTTGATATGTGCTGGTTGGCTTTTGTTTTCAAAACAGATATAGATGTAACAATACAAAGGCATACAATCTCTACTACTACTATGCTCACGGTTTTAGTGGTTTGAATTGTTTTTATATTTTAAGAACCACAGATTGTAATACTTTATGTGGATGAGGCATGTTGTGATTGTAATAAGTAGATGAGGCAGGTAGTGATTGTAATATTCTAAAGTTTCAAACTTTCTTTCTTTGGATGAGGCATGTAGTGATTATAATACTTTTTTAAGTTATTGACAATAATTTTTTTTTTTTGTTTTAGGAAGTGCACAAGTTGAATTATATTGAAAATTTATCAAATTTTAAACTGCCAAACCGATTCACATCCATCCGCTAATTCGTCAATCTACTCAATCTACATCTGCCAGATTGGCAGACATATGCAGATTGATTTTCTCCAATCGCCCAATCTAGCGGACGGATGGCGGATTGGAGGTTCCATGGCCGCAACCGACCCATGCCTGCCCCTACTAGAACCCACTACCCAACCACAATATACCTTCCATGGATATGTTGATCTGAAATTGCAAGGGACAAGAAATCAAAGTTTTAAGAGAACTATGAGAGAACTAGTTCAAATCCAAAAATCAGATATACTCATACTTATGGAGACCAAAGTGGAGTTTAAATCTGTGGGAATGTTTTTTCATTGCATGGGCTTCACTATTTCTGCACATGTGGATCCGCTTGGCTGCAGTGGAGGCATTTGGATGATTTGGAATCTAAATGTGGTTAATGTTCGAGTGGTGGAGGTGTGATACCCCTGTTCTGTGGTATGCTAATTGGTCATTGTAACGACCCAATCTTAGCAAGGCAAAACCCTGCCAAGAGGGTGAACCTCAAACGCTATAGCACCTTTACACCACAATTCCTGTATAATTCATACATCACATCACCACATTACCAAAAGTGCATAAGACCTTTCAATTGCCTAACATATATGAAATGATCTATTCAAAGACAAAAAAAGTATTATCATGCTACAAGATAGTTCCCAAGCATTTCCTCCCAAAAAAAATATAATACATACTAATCACGAATCCATCAATACATCCAACTTCATAAGCAATATTTACAATCAACCTCCTTCATAAAAAAAAGGGTAAGCTTACATCCTAGAATGACCCTAAGAAAAACCTCAACCACAAGATGCCCACCTGTGATCCTTCAAAAAATTCTAGTCTTCCAAGTTGAGGCGAGCCACACAAAAGTCTATGAATCTGGAAAAAAAAAATTATTTAAAAGAATGAGCTAAAGTCCAATGAGTATACCAATACCATGGAGTTATAAAACTTGCTCCTACCAATAGGGCTCAAAATAAAGATACTAAACATAAGAACTTAATTGGACTTACATTTATACAAAATAAAAATAAAAATAATGAAATACAATTTTCATAAAACGTTATCAAGATTTTTCCAAGGAATCTCATAAGGCAAAAAAAATAAATTTGGATAATGAAAGTAAACAAAAATATAACTTTTCAATACATTAAGATTTCCTGTCCATCATACAATCCACTACATAGCCTTAGGGTCGCGTTACCTCGCGACTTAGGTCGTGACGGTACCGTTACCCAAAACATAACCATAGGAACATAGCTCATGTCATCGTAGCACTTCAATTCTTGTTTCAATGTTTTGGTCCCCAGGACCCCTTATACATACAACGACCCTTATGGTCCTTAAAACATTTCGGTCCCCAGGACCCCAAAGCATTTTGGTCCTTGTGGCCCCAAAGGCTATATTCAGTTATATGATCAATAAAATAAATACCCTCACATAACATTTCACTGTCATTCAATCATCATCATCATAAAATTTGAAAGACTCAACTTAAATAAATTCTCATAAAAAAAATTAATGCTTCATTATACAAATGAAATCATATCTTTATTAAAACTCAACCCTTGGCCTCAATAAATTTATAGATTTTCTTTTTATACATATATCATGATGAAATGTATCATTCACTTCCTTTAATTCAAAAATTATTTTCAAACTTTGTAATAAAGATAGAGGTAAGGTAATTTCCATGGTAAGTATACTCACCTCCAAAAATAGCAAAAGTGTAGATTTGAAACTCTACAAATTAATTTCCAAGAGGTGGAGAGATGCCTTCCTCCAATCCTAACAATTAGTAAATAGGATCTCAAATTAGGAAAAACTTTCAATGAAAATTACAACATCTACAAAAATGATCCTAAATAAAATTATGCTAAGGAATGACAAGCTAAAGAACTCCTCCAACTTTAAGTCACCCAAACAAATAACTTATCCAATCTCCACAACACCCATCCTTTGTACATTTTTGAGTTAGTAACTTTTTAAATATCCAATCAATTTATATGCACAATACCACCATCAATTTACTCAAAAGTCAAAAAATCAACATTTTCGTATAAACTCAACATCTTAAGTAAAATCTCTTCAATCACTTATAAAATTCCTCCATAGAACATAGAGATACCCAATCCACCATTTATCAAATCAATTTCAACATATAAATTCCCTAACAACCAAAATCCCCAATTTTACATCACATTCAAACCTAGATTAACCAAAATCTTAATCTCCAAATCAACCATCAATTGACCATTTTTTTTTTTAACATCTAAAACATTCATGGAAACTAATTGAGAAGTAATAAATTCAAACAATCAAACCCCAAAATCATAATAGATCTAAAACACAAAAATTTCATCATCTCTAACTCAAAATATGTAAAACCTTAAACTAAACTTTCAGAGAAAAGTTGGGAATATTATAATTAAGCCTCTAATCCATCAAGAAAATAAATCCCATGCTTTGATTCTTCAAAAGATTAAGAAAAATCTAGAGTTGGTACTTCTATTGTGCTATTTTCGGATGGATCTAAGGAGTGGCCGACCGGACCCTTTTTCCGGCGAGATAAAGTGGCCGGCGGTGGTGGAGATGGTGGGTTAAGGTGGTGGTGTAAGGGTGGAGCAAAGGTGTGGTGTTTGGCCTCCAAGAAAGTAAAGGAAAATGAGAGAGAAAGTAGAGAGAAGTTAGAGAATGAAGAATGAAGAAAAAAAATCTGCACTATTTTTTTTTTTTTGTGTTGAAATGGGGTGTTTGGTTACACCTACCATCAAGTTTGGAGTTGGGTTTAGATATCCTAAATGGAGTTTAACATAGGGGTGTGTTTGGCTCTAGATGAAAAGTTGGGAATATTATAATTCTACCCCCCTAAAGGAAAATTTCGTCCACGAAATTTATTCGTTTGTTTAGTCTAGTTCATACCTTGAAAAGGATGTGGATATCGAATTTTCATATCATCCTCCATCTCCCAAGTAGCTTCCTCCAAAGCATGATTTTTCCACAATACCTTTACTAGTGGTATGGTCTTGGAATGTAGTACTTGATCCTTCATGTCCACAATCTCTATGGCTTCCTCTTCATAAGACAAATCATCCTTGAGTTGGATTGGTTGGAAGTCTAACACGTGTGATGGGTTAGGCATGTACTTCTTCAACGTGGATACATGAAGCACATTGTGAATGCGAGATAGACTAGGTGGTAAGGCCAAACGATAAGCAGTCTTGCTAATGCGCTCTAGTATCTCAAATGGCCCAATATACCTTGGACTTAGTTTGCCTTTCTTACCAAATCGCATCACTCCCTTCCATGGCGAGATTCGTAAAAATACATGATCTCCCACTTGAAATTCCAAATCCCTCCTCCGATTATCTGCATAGCTCTTTTGTCTACTTTGAGCCGCCTTCAACCTTTCTCGAATAATATGCATTTTATTGGTTGTAATTTGAACAATCTCTGGCCCTAACAATTTTCTCTCTCCAACCTCATCCCAACATACTGGAGTTCTACATCTTCGCCCATATAAAGCTTCAAAGGGAGCCATCCCAATACTTGATTGATAACTATTATTATACGCAAATTCTATTAAGGTCAAGTGTTCATCCCAACTACCTCGAAAATCTAGGACACAAGCTCTCAACATGTCTTCTAAAGTTTGAATTGTCCTCTCGGATTGCCCGCCGGTTTGGGGGTGAAAAGCTATACTGAATCTCAATTTAGTACCCAAGGCATTTTGAAGACTAGGCCAAAAGTGGGATGTGAAGCGCGAGTCTCTGCCTGAAAGAATAGATACCGGCACACCATGCAATCTCACAATTTCATCCACATAAATTTTTGCTAATCGATCAAGTGAAAAGTTTTTCTTAGTAGCCAAAAAGTGTGCAGATTTGGTCAACCTATCTACAACAACCCAAATAGAGTCATGCCCCTTCTGTGTGCGAGGCAGGCCCGAAACAAAATCCATGGCAATATGCTCCTATTTCCATTCAGGTATAGGAAGAGGTTGAAGTAAACCAGTTGGGCGTTGATGCTCTGTTTTAATCTGGTGACATACCAAACACCTTGACACAAATTCTGCTATCTCTCTCTTCATATTTGGCCACCAATAACTTTCTCTTAAATTTGATACATCTTTGTACTCCCCGGATGCATTGCATAAGGTGAATTATGGGCCTCATCTAATATCTCCCTTTTTATCTCGGGCTCATTTAGAACACATAACCGATTTTTAAACATCAACACACCATCTTCTTTAATAATAAAGTCTGACAGAGTACCATCTTTCACTCGAGCTCGGGTCTTCTCCAAAATTGAGTCTTTCCCTTGGGCTTCTCGAATGCGATCCACTAACAAAGGTCTCACTTTAATTGTAGCTAACAAGGATCCCGACTTCCCAACTGCTAGATCAACTCCAATAGATTTTATTTCATGTAAGGGACTAAATTGAATGCCCTGAATGTGAGTTAATTTCCCTGTAGATTTTCGGCTAAGAGCATCGGCCACCAAATTAGCTTTTCCTGGGTGATAATTAATGGTGCAGTCATAGTCCTTAATCAGTTCAACCTATCTCCTTTGCCTCAAATTTAAATCCCTCTGTGTGAATAAATATTTCAAACTCTTATGATCAGTATATATCTCACATTTTTCCCCGTATAAATAATGTCTCCACAACTTTAAAGCAAAAAACAACCGTTGCGAGCTCTAAATCATGGGTGGGATAATTGCGTTTATGGTTCTTCAATTGTCTAGATGCATAGGCCACTACTTTTCCATGTTGCATCAACACACAACCGAGCCCTTGATGAGAGGCATCACTATAAACAATAAATCCTTCACCACTTAACGGAATAGTAAGCACTGGGGCATAAGTTAATCGCTTCTTTAATTCTTGAAAACTCTTTTCACAATTCTCCATCCACTCAAATTTGGTATTCTTACGGGTCAAATGTGTTAATGGTGCCGCAATCAATGAAAACCCCTCTACAAATCTACGGTAGTAGCCTACCAACCCTAAAAAGCTCCTCACCTCGGTCACGTTAGTAGGACGATCCCAATTCACCACAGCCTCTATTTTCTTCGGATCCACAAAAATACCTTCACCCGAAATCACATGCCCCAAAAATACGACCCGATCTAACCAAAACTCACATTTGCTAAACTTCGCATACAACTTCTTTTCTCGTAAAGTCTGCAATACCACCCGCAAGTGTTGTTGATGATCCTCTTGACTCCTGGAATAAACAAGTATGTCATCAATAAATACAATCACAAATTGGTCAAGGTATGGTTGGAACACTCTATTCATAAGGGGGCATTAGTTAGACCAAAAGGCATAACAAGAAATTCATAATGGCCGTAGCGAGTTCGAAAAGCAGTTTTCAGTATGTCTTCTTCCTTAATCTTAAGTTGGTGATACCCTGATCTGAGATCGATTTTGGAGAACACACATGCTCCCTGAAGTTGATCAAACAAATCATCTATACAAGCCAAAGGATACTTATTACGCACCGTGACCTTATTCAACTGCCGATAGTCAATGCACAATCTCATGGTGCCATCTTTTTTCTTCACAAATAACACAGGTGATCCCCAAGGGGAGACACTTGGCCTAATGAAGCCTTTATCCAATAACTCTTGCAATTGTATCTTAAGCTCCTTAAGTTCCATTGGGGCAGTTCCAGGAATTAAGTCAATAGCAAACTCAATTTCGCGATCTGGGGGTAATCCAGGTAGTTCATCAGGAAAAACATCTATGAAGTCACACACAATTGGTATATCCTCCAATCTTGGACCACTAAATTCGAAGTCAATCACATAAGCTAAGTATCCTTGGCACCCCTTCTTAAGCATTTTTCAAGCGGTAATAGTAGAAATAACATAAGATGGGGACGCACATCGATCTCCACAAAATCTAAATTCAGGTTCCCCAAAATTGGAAAATACTACCTCTTTCCTATAACAATCCACCGAAGCATGGTAAGAAGCCAACCAATCCATTCCCAAAATCAAATCAAAATCAAGCATCTCTAAAGGCAATAAATCCGCTACCATCTCCCTATCTCCCAACTGTAATACACAACCTCGATATACCTCCTCAATTATAACACAATCCCCAATAGGAGTAGTAATGGATAAGCAATAGCCTAGAGGTTCAATAGGTTTATCAGCATGCAAAGAAAATGATAGAGATACAAAAGAATGTGTAGAACCCGGATCAATAAGTACATGTGCCTCCCTACTGAACACATAAATAATACCTGTTACCACCTCTGGATTAGCCTGAGCATCCCGCTGAGTCAAAGCAAAAACTCTCCCCTGCGAGGTTTGTCTATCGGATTGAACACCTCCTTTATTCTGCTTGCCAAACCTAGTCCCAACCTGACCTCCTCCTCGGCTCCCCCCTCGGCCGGCACCTGAAATTTTATTACTACCAACTCCAGTACTAGCAAATGAAGCAGTTCGTGTGCAATCTCTAGCCAAATGTCTGGGTTGTCCGCAATTGAAGCAAGCTCGTGTATCTCCCAAATTAGTCTTTTTAGGAACTGTGCAATCTTTCACCAAATGACCCTTCTGGCCACAACGAAAACACAAGTCAGTACCAGCATGACAAACACCTATATGTGCCCGCCCACATTGCTTGCAAACAGTTTGAGTAAACTGAGATGATGTCCCACTAGACTGTCCATGACGCTGATTAGAAATGCTTTGGGTTAGGGTGGGATGTGTCCGCAATTGAAGCAAGCTCGTGTATCTCCCAAATTAGTCATTTTAGGAACTGTGCAATCTTTCACCAAATGACCCTTCTGGCCACAACGAAAACACAAGTCTGTACGAGCATGACAAACACCTATATGTGCCCGCCCACATTGCTTGCAAACAGTTCGAGTAAACTGAGATGATGTCCCACTAGACTGTCCATGACGCTGATTAGAAATACTTTGGGTTGGGGAGGGATGCTCTCTATTTTTTTGATATGCACTAGAGCTCTTGACTGAACCATAACCATGACCACCTCTCTTTGACGGTCTATTAGATGTGTTCTCATGATGGGATGAACTAAGGTGGCACTTCTTCTGTTGTTCCGCTAACTTCATTTCTATGACATCTTTCTCAGCTGTTAAGGCTTTATCAACCAAGGTCGAATAGTTAGTTATTCCTAATACTCGGATACGAGATTTGATGTCCAAATCCAACCCATCTGTAAAACGACGACATTTGACCTCCTCATCATCCACAAACGAAGGGGCAAAACAAGATAAAGAAATGAACTTAGCTTCATATTGAGCTACAGTCAAATCCCCTTGCTCTAGCCAAAGGAACTCTCTCTCTTTTTCATACCGATAGGTAGCTGGAAAGTACTTGTCATTGAAAACCTTAGTGAATTGGTTCCAAGTCAATCCTCCGGTGCCACTTGCCGTAAGTAGGCGTTGCGTGGCCTTCCACCAATATTCAGCCTCCTCCACCAGCATAAAACTAGCAAGTGAAACTCGCTGCTCGTCTGATACTTCCATCACAGAAAATATCTGCTCTACCCTCCTTAACCAGGCCTCTGCCTCCATAGGATTGGGCGATCCAGAAAATGATGGAGCCCCCAACTTCTTGAACCTCTCAATTGCAATGAGGCGGTTCTCTATAGGTTGCACAAATGGCCTAGAGTGCTGCATTCTGTTGTTCAAGGATGTGAGTCTGCCTCTCCGCTAGGCTAGCCATTGACTCTAAAAGGCGCTGCACACTAGGGTCTAAAAATGCTGGAGCTGCGTCAGCCCTTGGTGGTACGACTCTATCTGAATGTCCCACTTCTGGATTGGCACTTGACTCTTGAGTTTGCTCATTATGCGATTCATGTTCAATCTCTTCTTCCTAAACCCGAGGTGGAATTTCATTTCCAACACTAAGATGTGGCTCTCGCTCAGCCTCAAGTACTTCCATAAGGGCCAACTCTTATGAACTTTTCGCCTTGCCATACGCGCCTGTATAACAAGACAATTAAAACTTAGAATACTAGATCGCTATTAAACATCATTACTAATCGAATTACTAACTACAATACCCTATCAACTTTAATTCTAAAGTAACTAGTCTACAGATTCACAACCTAATGCTCTGATACCAAAAATGTAACGACCCAATCTTGGCAAGGCAAAACCCTGCCAAGAGGGTGCACCTCAAACGCTATAGCACCTTTACACCACAATTCCTGTATAATTCATACATCACATCACCAAAAGTGCATAAGACCTTTCAATTGCCTAACATATATGAAATGATCTATTCAAAGACAAAAAAGTATTATCATGCTACAAGATAGTTCCCAAGCATTTCCTCCCAAAAAAAAATATAATACATACTAATCACGAATCCATCAATACATCCAACTTCATAAGCAATATTTACAATCAACCTCCTTCATAAAAAAAAAAGGTAAGCTTACATCCTAGAATGACCCTAAGCAAAACCTCAACCACAGGATGCCCACCTGTGATCCTTCAAAAAATTCTAGTCTTCCAAGTTGAGGCGAGCCACACAAAAGTCTATGAATCTGAAAAAAAAATTATTTAAAAGAATGAGCTAAAGCCCAATGAGTATACCAATACCATGGAGTTATAAAACTTGCTCCTACCAATAGGGTTCAAAATAAAGATACTAAACATAAGAGCTTAATTGGACTTAAATTTATACAAAATAAAAATAAAAATGATGAAATACAATTTTCATAAAACGTTATAAAGATTTTTCCAAGGAATCTCATAAGGCAAAAAAAAATAAATTTGGATAATGAAAGTAAACAAAAATATAACTTTTCAATACATTAAGATTTCCTGTCCATCATACAATCCACTACATAGCCTTAGGGTCGCGTTACCTCGCGACTTAGGTGGTGACGGTACCGTTACCCAAAACATAACCATAGGAACATAGCTCATGTCATCGTAGCACTTCAATTCTTGTTTCAATGTTTCGGTCCCCAGGACCCCTTATACATACAACGACCCTTATGGTCCTTAAAACATTTCGGTCCCCAGGACCCCAAAGCATTTTGGCCCTTGTGGCCCCAAAGGCTATATTCGGTTATATGATCAATAAAATAAATACCCTCACATAACATTTCACTGTCATTCAATCATCATCATCATAAAATTTGAAAGACTCAACTTAAATAAATTCTCATAAAAAAAATAATGCTTCATTATACAAATGAAATCATATCTTTATTAAAACTCAACCCTTGGCCTCAATAAATTTATAGATTTTCTTTTTATACATATATCATGATGAAATGTATCATTCACTTCCTTTAATTCAAAAATTATTTTCAAACTTTGTAATAAAGATAGAGGTAAGGTAATTTCCATGGTAAGTATACTCACCTCCAAAAATAGCAAAAGTGTAGATTTGAAACTCGACAAATTAATTTCCAAGAGGTGGAGAGATGCCTTCCTCCAATCCTAACAATTAGTAAATAGGATCTCAAATTAGGAAAAGCTTTCAATGAAAATTACAACATCTACAAAAATGATCCTAAATAAAATTATGCTAAGGAATGGCAAGCTAAAGAACTCCTCCAACTTTAAATCACCCAAACAAATAACTTATCCAATCTCCATAACACCCATCCTTTGAACATCTTTGAGTTAGTAACTTTTTAAATATCCAATCAATTTATATGCACAATACCACCATCAATTTACTACAAAAGTCAAAAATCAACATTTTTGTATAAACTCAACAACTTAAGTAAAATCTCTTCAATCACTTATAAAATTCCTCCATAGAACATAGAGATACCCAATCCATCATTTATCAACTCAATTTCAACATATAAATTCCCTAACACCAAAATCCCCAATTTTTACATCACATTCAAACCCTAGATTAACCCAAAGGATGGATTTAAGAAGTGGCCGACCGGACCCTTTTTCCGGCGAGATAAGGTGGCCGGAGGTGGTGGAGATGGTGGGTCAAGGTGGTGGTGTAAGGGTGGAGCAAAGGTGTGGTGTTTGGCCTCCAAGAAAGTAAAGGAAAATGAGAGAGAAAGTAGAGAGAAGTTAGAGAATGAAGAATGAAGAAAAAAAAATCTGCACTTCTAATTTTTTTTTTTTGTGTTGAAATGGGGTGTTTGGTTACACCTACCATCAAGTTTGGAGTTGGGTTTAGATATCCTAAATGGAGTTTAACATAGGAGTGTGTTTGGCTCTAGATGAAAAGTTGGGAATATTATAGTCATTAATTTGAGTATGAATATGTGATTAATATGATTTGTTGTGCCTTTATGTGAATATATGTGGTTTTGAATTTCTATCTATTCACCGTAGGAATATCTGTTTGACTATTTGCTTTGGAAATTAAATTGAGGGCCTTATCGACCACAGAACCCAAAATTGATTGTGCCATTGTGATTGGCATCATTTTCAGAGCCTACGGTGAAGTTTAATTGAAAATTTGATTCAGACCAGATTAAGTTAATTAAATTGGTGAATTAGTGCCTAACTATTTAAAATTATTAATTGTGGCTAGTGGGACTTGTTGTATTTGAGCACTATACCCTCATTTCTCTCCTTTAGCTTCACTTGGGCTGATCAAACTCTAAGAAAAAGAAAGGGGCCGGCTGTTAGAGAGAGAGAGGGAGAGAATTGTGTAATTTTTGACTCAAGCTTGGGAATTTGAAGTCTAGTTCAAGAATTAACCATAGATTGGGCTTCTAAGTAAGCATTGATTCTTGAATTCATGAGTTTAAGGTGTAATCTTGTGTGTTCAAAGTTAATTTATGGTCAAGAGCATGTTTTGAATTTTTTTTGTTCAATTGGAAGACCATATATGCATGCATGTATGTAATTGGTTGGAATTTGCATAATTGAGCTTGAATTACATGATTCATGTTGCAATTTGGTTGAAATCCATGTAAATTTGTAGTTAAAGCTCATGTGTGTAATCACCATTGGTATCATCTAAGTTGAGAATGGGAGCTAGACATCACATGCATGTACAATCTATGAAGATAAGAGCTTTGAATGCATAAATGTGTATGTTAGAATTGAGTTTGGTGTCAATTTGAGCGATGCATGTGTTAAATCTTTGAAATTGAGCTCCATGATGATGTGTTTTGGTGTTTATACCATGTTAATACAAGTATGTGTGGAATTGGAGCTATAAAATGCATGAATTGTTGGTTGAAAGTCGAATTTGAACTCAAGAACACAATCTGGGAAACCTAGAATTTTGATGTCTGCTCGAGCGGGGTAATGGCCGCTCGAGCGGCAAATACGTGCTCCCAGTACTTTTTGCAGACTTAGTGTCCGCTAGAGCGGGATATTTCACGCTCGAGCGTGGAGCTTTGTAGACAGGCCTTCCGCTCGAGCGCCCTATTTCACGCTTGAGCTTCTTTTTCATGCAACCAATACTTTTGCAGGCCTTAAAGGTCCGCTCGAGCAGGGTAGTCCACGCTCGAGCGGGGACCCTGTCTTCTGAGATTTTGTTTTTGCATTCTGTGTTCCGTTTTTCATTCTCTTTCACTTGCAAGCACTCGTAGGTATGTGTTAAATATGTAAATGAGTTAAAGAGATAAGAGTAAAGCCTAAAGAGGAAAATGTGAATTTAGAATGGATTGGATTGTTAGTGACCCTTTTGTGTTCATGGAATGTGTAGGGTCGAGCTCCAGGGAAAATCCCCAAACCGATCACTGTGAGTATTATCTGAAATATATATTGTTTTCCAATTGCTTACTTCTATGTAAGTTTTTTAAAGTTCATTAATTTTGAATGGTGGACAAAGTTTGAAAGGCTTAAATGCCAGTCTGATATGACAAGTTTGAAAGGCTTAAATGCCAGTTTGACATAACAAGTTTGAAAGGCTTAAATGCCAGTTTATTATGACAAGTTTTAGAGGCTTGAATGCCAGTTTGACATAACAAGTTTGAAAGGATTAAATGTCAGTTTGATATGACAATTTTGAGAGGCTTAAATGCCAGTTTGATATGACAAGTTTGGAAGGGCCGAAAGGCCACTCTGATACGAAAGTTTGATAAGGCCAAAAAGGCCAGTCTGATATAAACGTTCGAAAAAGGCCAAAGGCCAGTTTGACATGAATGAATTGGGCCAAAGGCCGTCTGTTGTATAATCTTCCAATGTATTTTCTTTATTTGATATTATTCATTGGGCTTCCGCTCACGCTCATTCATGTGTTTGTAGGTGAGCCAAGAGAGGTCCAAACCCCGATCCAGCCCCAATGAAGTCTGTATGGAACAACCAAGTTTTGGAAAGTCAACCTATGTGTCTCACGCATGAGACTCGCCTTCGCCTTTGTTATTTCGTTTTATGTTGTCATGTTGGCGGAGCCTTTGTATATGTCTGTATATAGTTCATAGGTTGACTTAGTTTTGGATGATCCTCTCTGTACAGAACTTTTTGATACTTTAATTCTGCTGTGAGTTATTAATGTTTATATGTATGACTTGTTTGACGTGCCATGTAAGCACAGCTCTAAGGACAAAGTTTTTAAATTGCTTCCGTTTGGCCTCCATTAACTCTGTTAAAATACGTTTGGTTTGGTTTGAGGCTGTAGGTAATCTCACGATTACTGATCGGTTATGTCCTTAACCCACGGGAGCGGGTTCGGGTTATGACAGAGTGGTATCAGAGCACGAGTTAATAACTCACACACTTGTCCA